GTAGATTATTGGAGGCCCAACTATCTTGGCTCACATGTGACGAAAATTATTGGACACCACAATAATTTACCGATCCAACTTAGTGGAGGGAGACAATCATGTTCGCCACTGTGGCCACCAAACCCCCTTTTAGGCATGAGCATGGGACCCGGCTTTTTGGCGGGTCGGTCTAGACTATTCGAAACGAAGACCCGGCCGGGTCGGGTCGACCCATGACCCGATTCCTGAAATGTGCTATGGGTCACTGGGGTTGGGCTGAGCTCAATGACAGGTGTGCAGTGGGGGTTGGGTCTTCTAGATTCACTGCCGTGATGAGTGGTGAGATGTGCCAAAGTGGCTGGGAATGACTGCCGTCGATAACTCATTTGTTGCATACGAGGGAGTGCCTAGGCATCCCGACCTTTGCAGATCGGCCAACAAAATCGCCAATCTGCAAAAATTGGCGGGCAATACTGCCGATTTCCGCTTCTCGGCGGGCGAAAGCGCTAATCCGCGTGGGTCGCTGGGTGAAATCGCCGATCTGCGTAGAGCGCGGACGAAAGCGGTATTTTCGTACCCGACTCGATCAGGCCAAGGTTTTGAAAACCTCGGGCCATTAAGACCCGACCCGCTACCCGCCTGACCAGCCCAAATCGGGTCGGTTGCTCATGCCTATGCACTCTTACCTATGTATACCCCCACCGTTTTCAATCCAAGTATCACTTCTTCATGCCTCTGCATTTCTCACATGGTATTAAAGCAATTAGGCTCACGCCTCTCCCAATCCACGCGGACACGAAGGTGCCGTCCCCTACCCCGTCCTCGTCCTCCGCCCTCCCCATGGTGGATGATACCTCCTCCGTCCAGCTCACGTTCATCAACAAACTCAACAAACTCCACACAGCGACCCCACCTACGTCTCATGACACTGATCTTTGACAAAGACCTGACGTTCACTAGAAAGTTCTAGCGGAAACTTAAGGGATTATTGAGGACTAAGCTTGCAACGTCTTCAGCATACCATCCCTAGACAGATGGCGAGACGAAACCAAGTGGTAGAATAGTTACTGCGCACAGCTTGCAAAGATGACATCAGCCACTAGGATCAACAGTAACCAACACTCGAGTTCGCCTACAACAAACTATACACGCGACCCCAGAAAAAACCATTTCTTATTGTGGTACCGACGTGACCTCGTTACACCACAACCGCCAACTGCACTGGTCCGCGTCCAAGCCGCTCATGACTTCATCACCACCATGCAACATGTCAGATTATCATATTGCTGATGCATGTTTGTAGGCTGTAGTGGGGTAGCCCATAGGGGGTACAACCCAATTAGGGTTGGTACTTGTACTGTTTTCTTTCGTAGTTCATTCATTCCTCGCTACTATCTCAACATGGTATCGAGCAGGTTCCCTAGTGGGAACTGTTCCTAGGGCCCACCAACTTTTCTGTCCTGCGCGAAGCGCGCTCAGCCCTAGCCCGACTCGTGCTCGGCTTTTTTTTCCTCTGGTGGCCCGATCGCGTCGCGCCGCTCTCACGGCTTCGTCGCGCCGCCTAAGCGGCTTCGTCGCGCCGCCCCAGACGGTCGCGTCGCACCGCGCGTGCCGCCCTCCAGTCGCGCGCCGCCCCTCTGGCCTCGGCGCCCACCTCCGCGACTCCGGCGCCGCCCTTGACAGCCCCGCGATCGCCTGTGACGGCCCCGCCGTCCCCTCTGCCGGCCTCGCCGCTGCACCTGACGGCCCCGCCGTCCCCTCTGCCGGCCCCGCCGCTGCATCTGACGGCCCCGCCGCTGCACCTGTCGGCCCCGCCGCTGCATCTTCCGGCCCCGCCGCTGCACCTGACGGCCCCGCCGTCCCCTCTACCGGCCACGCCGCTGCACCTGACGGCCCCGCCGCTACACCTGCCGGCCCCGCCGTCCCCTCTACCGGCCCAGCCGCTGCACCTGACGGCCCCGCCGTCCCCTCCACCGGCCCCGCCGCTGCACCTGACGGCCCCGCCTCTGCATCTACCGGCCCCGCCGCTGCACCCGAGCCGCCGAGCCGCCCCAGCAGCCGAGCCGCCCCAGCAGCCGAGCTGCCCAGCAGCCGAGCCGCCCTGCAGCCGAGCCGCCCAGCAGCCGAGCCGCCCAGGAGCCGAGCCGCCGAGCCGCCCGAGCCGCCCGAGCCGCCCGAGCAGCCCGAGTCGCATGCGCCGCCCGGTACCTACACTACCCAACCTGCTCTGTCTGGTAAGCGCAGCGCTGTCCTCTCCGCACTGCCCTCACCCTACTGCTAGCCTACTGCTATCATGGCTACCCCCAGTGTCCTCACTTTTGACGCTGAGGGTAGGGCCATCGACTTTGACGTTTGGGTAGACGACCTACTGCTCTTCCTACACTACGATCAAGCTGACGGCCTCTCTCTCTTTGACCTCACTTCTGGTGCCTCTCCCGCCCCTGCTGCTACTGAGGATGCCACTGTTCGCTCACAGTGGGCCACACGCGATGCTGCTCCACGTCTTGCTGTGCGTCGCCACCTCCCTCCCTCTGAGCGTGCGCACTTTGGCCAGTACAAGAGTGCTCAGACCTTGTACGACGCTGTAGTTGCACGCTACTCCTCCCCTGCCACTGCTGCACTGAGCCGCCTCATGCTACCGTACCTCTTTCCCGACCTTGCTGCCTTTGCCACAGTCGCTGACCTCATTACCCACCTGCGCACTAGTGACGCTCGCTACCGCGCTGCGCTTCCTGCTGAGTTCTGCGCCAAGAACCCCCCCCCCCATGTACATCACCCTCTACTACATAGTCACCCGCGTCCCTGACTCCCTTCGCGTAGTCAGGGACCACTTTCTCTCGGTCTGTCCCACCACTCTCACTGTTGATCTCCTCGAGAAGTCCCTCCTCGCGGCCGAGAAGAGCATTCTTGCTGTAGGAGCCTCTCGTGGTGACCCGCGCACCCCCATCTTTGAGGGGTGTTCCCCCTCCCCCCTCTTGCCCTCTGTCGCCTCTGCTGCTACGGCCGACCTCGTTGGTTTTGAGTCGGTCGGTGCGGCGTCTGCCCCTAGTGGGAGACGTCGCCCTGGCAGGGGCAAGGGGGGCAGGGGCGGTGGTGGAGCTGGCGAGGGCGGTGGAGGCGGCGGCGGAGGCGGTGGGGGTGGTGGTGGGAGTGTGAAAACAAGTGAACAGGAATGAAAATGACTAAGTCAGGGTTGGGTACAAATACAACCCTAGAAAGCTGTACCCCATATGTGCTACCCCACTATAGCCTACAAACATGCATCAACTATGATAATCTGACACACCCCCATAGGCAAAGTGGGGGAGAACAAGGGGTCACAAGACCAGTCAAGCAAAGCAAAGCAAAGCAAGCTCAGGGTGGATCACAAAGTCACCACACAGTCCGAGCACAAGAGCAGGGCCAGAGGCCAGTTCACATGCAGGAGTACAGACATATATATAAAACTAGACAAACAAGAGCAGGTATATATATATGTCACAGTACAAGTGAAGTCAAGAGGAGAGCAAGTGAGGCAAGACAGGTACAAGACCCAGCTGGGTGCAAAAGCGCTAATGGTCACAAGGCGCGAGTGCCTTGGTGAACACATCAGCAATGTTGGCCTCAGAGGCCACGTACGCAAGTCGCAACTGACCACGCTGCTGCAGCTCACGAGCGAGGAAGTAGCGGAGAGCAATGTGCTTCGTTCTGTGCTCCAAGCGCTGCTCTCGACACAAGGCCAGCATGGCCTTGTTGTCTACGTACAGCACTGGAGGAGAACGAGGCGGCTCTCCAAGGTCAGTCAGCAGGTAGGTGAGCCAGCGAAGCTCTTGTGCAGCCATGGCCCCGGCGTAGATCTCAGCCTCACAACTGGAGCCGAGAACCGAAGACGAGCGAGTAGACCGCCACGAGACCGAGCCGGAACCAAGGCTGAAGGTGTAACCCTGTGACGACCGCTGCGTAGCCTGATCGTCAGCCCAAGAAGCGTCCGCGTGGCCGGTAAGGACCACTGGACTCCGCCCTCCAAGCACTAGCCCCATGCCCGACGTACTGCACAAGTAGCACAATACCCTCTTCGCTGCAGCCATGTGCTCCGGTCTGTGTCTCCCAGGAGCAACATAGCGTGCAAGAATGCTCAGAGGGTATGCAAGGTCAGGTCGTGTGCAGGTCATCAGGTACATGAGGCAGCCAACAAGCTCTGCATACGGGCCACTCGACTCTACGGACTCATCCGAAGGCAGAGCTGAGAGTGAGTGGCGAGTAGGCAGAGGAGTGGCCTGAGGCGAGGAGTACGTAAAGCCGAAGCGCTGAAGGACCTGCTGCACCATGTGTGATTGAGTCAAGGTAATGGTGCGGCGTGCTCTGTCCCGAGTGATCTGCAAGCCAAGGTAGCTGCGCAGTTCACCCAGGTCAGTACACGTGTGTCTCTTCAGCAGCTCGGACTTCACGTAGGCGAGTCCAGCAGTGTCCGCTGTGGCAAAGACCAAGTCGTCGACGTACACGAGGATGTAGAGCGGCGGCAGGGAAGTGTCGGTGCGAAGAAACAGCGACGGGTCAGCAGTGGAAGGAGCAAACCCAAGAGCCGCAAGCGTAGTCCTCAGTGTGTCGTGCCACTCACGCGGTGCCTGGTGGAGACCGTAGACTGGCCGTCGGAGGCTCCACTGGGTGCCAGGAGGGAAAGTCCCAGTGAAGCCAGGTGGACGGCGAAGCCAGATCTCCTCGTGCAGGCTACCCTGCAAGAACGCAGTGCTGAAGTCGAGAGAGTGAAGCTCGTAGTCGCGCTGAGCGGCTATGTGCAGCAGCACCCAAAGAGTAGTCATCTTCGAGGTGGGAGAGAAGGTCTGAAAGTAGTCAACTCCCTGCCGCTGACTGAAGCCACGAGCAACGTACCGTGCCTTGAAGACAGGTGGAGAGCCCGGCGGCCGCTTCACCCTGAAGATCCACATGCCACTGACGATGTTCGCCCCAGGAGGGGGAACCGCGTCAACGTAGGTGCCTGTGGACTTCCAGGAAGCCATCTCTGCATCCATAGCTGCCTACCACTAAGAGGAGTAGGGACCCTCTACGGCCTCCGCATGAGAACGCGGAGTCGGGATGTCTAGTGCATCCGGGTCTCCCTCAGGGGCAAGCAGTACAGACGCGAGATGAGGTGAAGCAGCCGCTAGACACTGTAACTCCTCCTGCCTGTCCTCTAGGACGTCCGTGCCAAGAGCACACTCACCCCCGACGGACGGAGGATAGACAGACGCAGACTCAGCAACAAGACTAGCAGCGTAGTCGAGACGACAGCGAGCAGCAAAATCGACGAGCTCAGTGACTAGAGCAGACGCAGCAGTGGACTCAAAAGAGGGGTCAGTGACGACAGTAGCAAGCAGACGCGTGACAGTAGGACTGGCAGCACGAAGAGAGTCCGACTCAGGGTCGGCAAGCGCAGGAAGAGAGGACTCAGGAGGAGAAGGCAAAGGGGCACGCAGAGGAGCAGTGGACGGACGCAAAGACATCCGGTGCGTGCCAGGGACAGGAGGAGGACGCTGACGCGAACTGCGACCACTAGCGCGAGCAGCACGAACAGGCGACGCGCGACGAGACGCAGGCTCACGACGCTCAGCAAGACCTCTAGTAGGACCAGTGTAAGGAGAGGGAGCAGGCAGTGGAGAGGAAGGCTCCAGCAGGGACTGCGACTGGACAGGCGGTGGACCCTCTACTGGAGGAGAAAGACCAAGAACCTGCTGCAGGAGCGGAACGAAGTACGGCCGAGGCCGCGCGGCAGCTCCAGACTCAGCAGGGACAGTACCTGCACCCTTAGCGACAGCACCAGTGCCACCCACACCTCCAGCGGCAGGACCAACAGTAGTAGGCTCAGCACGAACGCCCTCACCAGCTCCAGCTCCAGGAGGATCCGCAGGTCCAGCAGCTCATGGACCGGCAGCACCCGCACCCTCGACGGTCGAAGAAGCTCCAGCTCCACCTCCAGCAGCACCTCCAGACTCAGCAGCACGCCTCCAGCGGCGAGCGAACCACTCACGCAGCTCCTGTGGAGAGAGGGGCTCCCGGCGAGACGCAGCAGCAGGAGAAATCCCAGGCTCAGCAGCTCCAGACGCAGCACCCCCAGGCTCAGCAGCTCCCAGCACAGCACCCCGAGGCTCAGCAGCTCCCGACCCGGCACCCCCAGAGTCAGCACCCCCAGGCTCAGCACCCGCAGCAGCACCAGAGTCACCAGTTACCTCGACCGGGTCAACGGCGTCTACCTGGGACACACCTGAGGGTGCAGGAACCTGAGGGGGGAGGGGGTCTACCGGGGGGGGAACCGGCACAAGGAAGTCCGGGGGAGGGGGGAGGGAAGGAGTGCGGTAGGGGAAGAGACGGTAGAAGGGGACTGACTCGTCGAACGTGACGTCCTGGGAGGACAGAACACGACGAGAGGAGGGGTGGTAAAACTGCCACCTTGGGGCGTCAGTGGGGAAGCCAAGGAAGACACAGACAAGTCGCGGACAAACGCCCGAGATCCCCAGACACGGAACACAGACGCATCGCCAACCTTCCCCGTCCACAGCAAGGCTGGGGACATTGCAGGCCGAGAGACCGGGGGGTGAAGGTTGAGCTGATGCGCCAGGTACCTCACCGCAAACGGCCACAGAAAATGTGGGGCAGCCGCATGCATCATGGACGTACGAGCGACATCCATGACCATGCCAATGCGGCGCTCAGCAATCCCATTTTGCTGTGGTGAGTCCGGAAGCGTGAAGGTCTGGCGGATCCCCCGTGCACGACAGTAGTCCCGCAGAAGGCGAGAAGAGAACTCTCAGCCTCTGTCAAAGTACAGACGCAGAGCAGGAAAGTCCGATCCGAAGCTCTTCCTGAGCTGGAGACGAGCCTCGCGGATCCAGCCGATCAACACCTCAGTGACCGCACCCTTGCTGCGCAAGGGGAGGACTGTGGTGTAACGCGAGTAGTCGTCAACCACCAACAGGAAGTAGCGCTCGTAACCCTGCCCACGGACGGGGGCTGGGCCCCACACATCCATGTGAAGCGTCTGCAGGGGAGCCTCTGTCGAGGGGAAGTGGGAGGAGTGAGGAGTAGCCCGGAGGCGACCCTCGACACAGGGGACACAGGAAGGTCCTGGCCCGGAGGGGAGAGGAGGGAGAGACTGGGGAAGACCAGAGACAAGGACACGGGAAGCCATGCTCCGAAGACGGGGCAAGGAGGGGTGGCCAAGACGGTGGTGCCACAGGAGAGTCTCGTGAGACAGGAGGCGACAAGAACAGGGGGCAGACTCAGGACCTGACCGGGACGCAGCAGCAAGCACCTGACCCGACGCAGCCACCTGACCAGACGCAGGGACAGGAGGAGACTCAACGGTCAGGGTGTAGAGACTCGACCCCGGCCGACGCGAGAACGTGGCCAGGTGTCGGCCTGTGCGTGCCTCCGTGCAGTGGGTCACCCGCTGACTCGCAGGAGTGAACTGGTGAACCCCCACATCCTGCAGGTCCGCTCCACTCACCAAGTTCGTAGAGAACGAGGGAAGGTACAGACCCGACAGGGTGCCCGAAGGGGCAGCCGGACACGGGAGGACACTGAAGAAGTGAGACAGGACAGGACCCCCAGAGGGGTCAGCAAGGGAGACCGCAACCGGCCGGCCGAGCGGCGTAAGGGTAGTGCGGTCTCGAAAGAAGGAGCGAGAAGCTCCGGAGTCAAGTGTGAAAGTGAGGGAGGACGAGGACGACGCAGTACCTGAGAGCGCAGTCTCACCAGTACCTGAGAGCACAGACGCACTGGCACCTAGAGCAGCAGCCTCACAAGCACCTAGCGCAGCAGTACCAATGCCCGGGTCGGGCTGGAAACAACGGTAACCCTCATTCTCCTCACTATAATCCACAACATACATAGCAGCAAGGATAGCATCAAAATCAAGATCAAAGATCGCTACACCAGCCCTGAGAAGCTCATCCCAGCGAGGGATCTCACTAGCCCCAGGGAACTGCTGACGCCAAGCGTCCGTCAGGCAGCCAAAGCAGCGCTGGGTGGCGTGGGCACACCCACACTGCTCACCCGCGCGGTCGCCGGAACGAAGAACGTAGGTGCAGGGACCAGTACCCCCACCCCTCTGACGCCCAGCGTACCACTCACGAAGCTGCTGAGGCGGAGGGATGTCCCGCGAGCGCTGCTGCTGCTGCCGCTGCGAGCGCTGGCCACCACCACCGCCGCTACGCTGCTGGGTACCACCTCGACCAGCTCCACCTCCTCCACCACCACCGCCTCCTCCGCTGCCGCCTCCACCGCCTCCACCTCCGCCGCCTCCACTGCCGCCGCTGCCTCCACCACCACCGCTGGCACCACCACCACCGTCTCCGCCGCTGCTGCCACCACCACCACCACCCCCGCCACTAGTCCCGCCGCCACCCCCACTCCCTCCGCCGCCACCGCCGCCACCGCCACCGCCCCCTCCAGCTCCACCCGCGCCCTTGCCTCCCTTGCCCTTGCTGGAGCGACGTCTCCCACTAGGGGCAGACGCCGCGCCGACCGACTCAAGACCAAGCAGGTCGGCAGCAGCAGCAGAGGCAACAGAGGGCAGCAAGGGGGAAGGAGAGCACCCCTCAAAGATGGGGGTGCGAGGGTCACCACGAGAAGCACCTACAGCGACTATGCTCTTCTCCGCTGCGAGGAGGGCCTTCTCGAGGAGGTCGACGGTGAGGGTGGTGGGACAGACTGCGAGAAAGTGGTCCCTGATGACACGAAGGGAGTCAGGGAGGCGCGCGACTACGTAGTAGAGAGCGATGTACATGGGGGGGGGGTTCTTAGCGCAGAACTCAGCAGGAAGGGCGGCGCGGTAGCGAGTGTCACTAGTGCGGAGGTGCGTAATGAGGTCAGCGACAGTGGGAAAGGCAGAGAGGTCAGGAAAGAGGTAGGGAAGCATGAGACGGCTCAGTGCAGCAGTGGCAGGGGAGGAGTAGCGCGCAACTACAGCGTCGTACAAGGTCTGAGCACTCTTGTACTGACTAAAGTGCGCACGCTCAGAGGTAGGGAGGTGGCGACGCACAGCAAGATGTGCAGCAGCATCGCGGGTGGCCCACTTAGAGCGGACAGTGGGATCAGCATCAGCAGCAGGAGCAGGAGAGGCGCCAGAGGTGAGGTCAAAGAGAGAAAGGTCGTCAGCCCTGTCGCACTGTAAGAACAGCTGCAGGTCGTCTAACCAGACCTCAAAATCAATGGCGCGACCCTCAGCGTCAAAAGCTTGGACACTAGGGGTAGCCATGGCGACGGCAGCGACGCAGTGCAAGCAGTAGGGAAAGAGCTCGCAGTGGCAGTGGGACTGTGCTCACCAGGCAGGGCAGGTCGTGCAGCTATGCAGAAAGGCGGCTCAGCGACCGGGCGGCTCGGGTGCACAGCGGCTCGGCTCCCGGGCGGCTCGGCGGCTGGGCGGCTCGGGCGCAGGGCGGCTCGGCTCCCGGGCGGCTCGGCGGCAGGGCGGCTCGGGTGCAGGGCGGCTCGGCTCCCGGGCGGCTCGGCAGCAGAGCGGCTCGGGTCCCGGGCGGCTCGGCGTTGGGCGGCTCGGCTCCCGGGGGGTTCGGCTGCTGGGGCGGCTCTGCTGCTGGGGCGGCTCGGCCGGGAGATGCAGGGGCGGGGCCGTTAGGTGCAGCGGCGGGTCGACCGGTGCAGCGGCGGGCCGGCAGGTGCAGTGGCGGGGCCGTAGGGTGTAGCGGCGGGCCGACCAGGTGGGGCGGCGGGCCATAGGGTGCAGCGGCGGGCGGTGGGGTGCAGCGGCGGGGCGGCAGGTGCAGCGGCGGGCCGGCAGGTGCAGCGGCGGGCCGGCAGGTGCAGCGGCGGGGCCGTCAGGTGAGGCGGTGGGCCGTAGGGTGCAGCGGCGGGCCGTAGGGTGCAGCGGCGGAGCCAGCGGTGGAGCCGCGTCAGGGGAGGCGGCAGTGCTGCGTCAAGCAGGCGGTGGGGCCGCGACGAAGCGGGCGGCAGGGCCGCGTCAGAGCCGGCGGAGCGGGGCCGCGTCAGTGGAGGCGGCGGGGCCGCGTCAAGCAGGCGGCGTCGGGGCCGCGTCTGAGGGACAGCGCGGCCGCGAGGGAAATGGCGACCCGAGGGGTCGCTAAAAAAAAGGCGCGCCTCGGGGCGCGCTTCGGTGGGCCCTAAAAAAACGGTCCTAAGGAAGGACCCGCTCTATACCATGTGAAAACAAGTGAACAGGAATGAAAATGACTAAGTCAGGGTTGGGTACAAATACAACCCTAGAAAGTTGTACCCCATATGTGCTACCCCACTATAGCCTACAAACATGCATCAACTATGATAATCTGACAGGGAGTGGTGGCGGGAGCGGAGGTGTCAGTGGCGGTAGTGGAGGCGGAGGCGGCCGCGGCGGTGGTGGTGGGAGTGGAGGTGGAGGCGGCGCTGGCGGCGGCGACAGTGGGAGTGGAGGTGGTAGCGGAGGTGGCGGCGGCGGCGACGGCGGAGGCGGCGGAGGAGGTCGTGGCTCGTCGCAGAGGAGTGGCTCTGGTGGTGGTCAGCGCCAACAGCAGCAGCGTGGTAAGGAGACCCTATCCCCTCAGCAGCTCCGTGAGTGGTACACTGCGCGTCAGAGGGGTGGGGGTACCGGTCCGTGCACCTACGTCCTGCGCACTGGCGACCGTGCGGGTGAGCCGTGTGGTGGTCCACACCCCACCCAGCGCTGCTTTGGCCGCCTGACTGACGCTTGGCGCCGCCAGTTTCCTGACGCCACTGAGATCCCTCGCTGGGACCAGCTGTCTAGGGCAGGAGTAGCTATCTTTGATCTTGACTATGATGCTATTCTTCGTGCCATGTATGCTGTGACTATTAGTGAGGAGGGTGACTGTTACCGGTGTTTCCCGCCCGACCCGGGCATTGGTACTGCTGCTCTAGGTGCTGTTGAGACTGTTGTTCCAGGTGCTGGTAAGGTTGTTGCTCTAGGTGCCAGTGAGTCTGCGTCCTCAGGTGCTGGTGAGTCTGCTCTCTCAGGTACTGCGTCGGCTCTGGCCTCCCTCACCTTCACCCTTGACTCGGGGGCGTCTTGCTCCTTCTTTCGCGACCGCACCACACTCACCCCGCTTAGTCGGCCGGTTGCACTCTCCCTGGCAGACCCCTCTCGGGGTCCTGTTCTGGCTAGCTACTCCACTGTCCTTCCGTGCCCTGCGGTCCCGTCTGGCTCCCTGTCGGGTGTGTACCTCCCCTCGTTCTCTACGAACTTGGTGGCGGGTGCTGACCTCCAGGATGCAAGGGTTGACCAGTTCATCCCTGCACGCCGACGGGACACCCACTGCACGGACGCGGACACGGGCCGACACTTGACCACGTTCACGCATCGGCCGGGGTCGAGCCTGTACACACTCACTGTTCCGTCTCCTCCTTTTGTGTCTGGTCAGGTACCTGCGTCGGGTCAGGTGTTTGCTGCAGCGTCCAGGTCTGGTCCTGAGTCTGCCCCCTGTTCGTGTCGCCTCCTGTCCCACGAGACCCTCCTGTGCCACCACCGCATGGGTCACCCCTCCCTGCTTCGTCTCCGGAGCATGGCCTCTCGTCTTCTTGTCTCTGGTCTTCCCCGGTCCCTCCCTCCCCTTCCTCCGGGTCCTGGCCCTCCCTGTGTCCCCTGTGTTGAGGGACGCCTCCGGGCTACCCCTCACTCCTCCCCGTTTCCTCCGACGGAGGCCCCGCTGCAGACGCTTCACATGGACGTGTGGGGCCCAGCCCGCGTCCGTGGGCAGGGTCACGAGCGCTACTTCCTGCTGGTGGTTGACGACTACTCGCGTTACACCACGGTCTTCCCCTTGCGCAGCAAGGGTGAAGTCACTTAGGTGTTGATCGACTGGATCCGCGCAGCTCGTCTCCAGCTCAGGAAGAGCTTCGGCTCGGACTTTCCTGTTCTGCGTTTGCACTCGGACAGAGGCGGAGAGTTCTCCTCTGGCCTTCTGCGAGCCTACTGTCATGCACGAGGCATCCACTTCCGGACTCTCCAGAGCTAAATGGGATTGCTGAGCGCCGCATTGGCATGGTCATGGACGTCGCCCGTACGTCCATGATGCATGCGGCTGCCCCCCATTTTCTGTGGCCGTTTGCGGTTCGGTACGCGGCGCATCAGATCAACCTCCAGCCCCGGGTCTCCAGGCCGGAGACCTCCCGAGCTCTGCTGTGGACGGGGAAGGTTGGCGATGCGTCGGCGTTCTGTGACTGGGGATCTCAGGCGTTTGTTCGCGACTTGTCCGCGGACAAGATGTCCTCTCGTGCTGCTCCCTGCGTCTTCCTGGGTTTCCCTCCTGACGCACCTGGGTGGCAGTTCTACCACCCCACCTCTCGACGTGTTCTGTCCTCTCAGGACGTCACGTTTGACGAGTCGGTCCCCTTCTACCGGCTCTTCCCCTACCGCACTCCGTCCCTTCCCCCGCCCCCGCTCTTCTTTGTCCCAGGTCCCCCTCTAGTAGACCCCCTTCCCCCTCAGGGTCCTGCCCCTTCAGGTGTGTCCCAGGTAGACGCTGCTGAGCATGTCGAGGTCACTGGTGACTCTGGTGCTGCTGAAGGTGCTGTGCGTGGGGACACCGGGACTTGGGGTGCGGAGCCTGGGCGTGCGGAGCCTGGGGGTGCTGAGCCTGGGGGTGCTGAGCCTAAGGGTGCGGAGCCTGGGGGTGTTGAGCCAGGGGGTGCGGAGCCTGGGGGTGCTGAGCCTGGGGGTGCTGAGCCTGGGGGTGCTACGCCTGGGGGTGCTGAGTCTGGGGGTACTGAGCCTGCTGCTACTGTTCCTGGTGGTTCTCCGGACCTTTCTTCTCGCCGTGAGCCACTCTCTCCTCTAGAGCTGCGTGAGTGGTTTGCCCGGCGCTAGAGGCGAGCTGCTGGAGCTGGGGGTGCTGCGGGTACTAGAGGTTCTGTTGCTGCTGAGGGAGCTGGTGCCACGGGTCCTAGAGGTGCTCATACTGCGAGTACTGGAGCTGCCGGGCCCGGAGGTGCCTCTGGAGTTGGAGCTGCTGCGGGTGCTGGCGCGGAGTCTACGACTGCTGGTCCTGGAGGCGGTCCTGCTGGAGGTGCCTCTGGAGCTAGAGCTGCTGCGAATCTGGCGCTGGGTCTACGGCTTTCGGTCCTACTGAGGGTACTTCTGGCGCTGCTGGAGGTGCTGGAGCTGGAGCTGCTCCTGGTGCTGATGCTGCCTCGGGGGGTGCTGGTGCTGTACCTGCTGTGTCTGGAGGTGCTGCGCGGCCTCGGCCGTACTTCGTTCCGCTCCTTCAGCAGGTTCTTGGTCTCCCGCCTTCCACTGGTCCTTCTCCTCCCTCAGAGTGTCCACAGCTTGTCCCGTCGCAGTCACAGTTACAGCTCCAGCCTGCCTCTCCGCTGCCTTCTCCGTCTCCCTACACTGGTCCTACTGGAGGTCTTGCTGAGCGTCGTGAGCCTGCGTCCCGCCCTGCGTCACCTGTCCGTGCTGCTCGCCCTAGTGGTCGCGGTTCGCGTCAGCGTCCTCCTCCTGTCCCTCGCACGCATAGGATGTCTCTGCGTCCGTCCACTGCTCCTCTGCGTGCCCCTTTGCCTTCTCCTCCTCAGTCTTCTCTTCCTACACTTGCCGACCCGGAGTCCGACTCTCGTCGTGCTGCTAGTCCTACTGTCACGCGTCTCCTTGCTACTGTTGTCACTGACCCTTCCTTTGAGTCCGCTACTGCATCTGCCCTATTTGCTGAGCTGGTGGACTTTGCTGCCGCGTGTCGTCTAGACTACGCTGCCAGTCTTGTTGCTGAGTCTGAGTCTGCTGAGTCTGCGTCTGCCTGTCCTCCGTCCGTCGGGGGTGACTGTGCTCTTGGCACGGACGTCCTTGAGGACAGGCAGGAGGAGTTCCAGTGCTTTGCCGCCGCTTTGCCCCATCTCGTGTCCATGCTTGTTGCCCCTGAGGGAGACCCGGATGCTCTAGACATCCCGACCCCACGCTCTTACGCAGAGGCGATGGCCGGTCCCTACTCCTCTCAGTGGCAGACAGCCATGGACGCAGAGATGGCTTCCTGGAAGTCCACAGGCACCTACGTCGACGAGGTTCCCCCGCCTGGGGCGAACATCGTTAGTGGCATGTGGATTTTCAGGGTGAAGTGGCCGCCAGGTTCTCCGCCTGTCTTCAAGGCGCGTTACGTTGCGCGAGGCTTCAGTCAGCGGCAGGGAGTTGACCTCTTCCAGACCTTCTCCCCGACCCCGAAGATGACCACTTTTCGAATTCTGCTGCACGTCGCTGCTCAGCGTGACTACGAGCTACACTCCCTTGACTTCAGCACTGCTTTCCTGCAGGATCGCGTGCACGAGGAGATCTGGCTGCGCCGCCCTCCTGGCTTCACTGGGTCGTTTCCTCCTGGTACCCAGTGGAGCCTCCGCCGGCTAGTCTACGGTCTCCGCCAGGCGCCACGTGAGTGGCACGACACACTGAGGACTACACTTGCGGCTCTTGGGTTCGCTCCTTCTACTGCTGACCCGTCACTGTTTCTACGCACCGGCACCTCGCTGCCGCCATTCTACATCCTCGTGTACGTCTACGACTTGGTCTTTGCCACTGGGGACACTGCCGCACTCGCCCACGTGAAGTCGGAGCTGCAGAAGAGACACACGTGCACAGACCTGGGTGAACTGACAAGTTATCTTGGCTTGCGGATCACCCGGGACAGAGCACGCCGCACCATTACCCTGACTCAGTCACACATGGTGCAGCAGGTCCTTCAGCGCTTCGGCTTCACGTACTCCTCGCCTCAGTCCACTCCTTTGCCTACGGAACACTCGCTCTCAGCTCTGCCTTCGGATGAGTCCGTAGAGTCGAGTGGCTTGTATCCAGAGCTTGTGGGCTGCCTCATGTACCTGATGACCTGCACTCGACTTGACCTCGCATACCCTCTCAGCATCTTAGCATGCTATGTTGCTCCCGGCCGTCACCGGAAGGAGCACATGGATGCAGCTAAGAGGGTGTTGCGCTACTTGTGCAGTACGTCGGGCATGGGGCTAGTGCTTGGAGGGCGAGACCGGCCTGTTCTCACTGGGCACTGAGATGCTTCTTGGGCTGATGACCAGGCTACAGAGCGGTCGTCTCAGGGTTACACCTTCAGTCTTGGCTCTGGCTCTGTCTCTTGGCGCTCTACTCGCTCTTCTTCTGTTCTCAGCTCCAGTTGTGAGGTTGAGATCTACGCCACTGCCATGGCTGCCCAGGAGCTTTGCTGGCTCACCTACCTGCTGACTGACCTTGGAGAGCGGCCTCGTTCTCCTCCAGTGCTGTACGTCGACAACAAGGCAGCCATTGCCTTGTGTGAGGAGCACAGACTGGAGCACAGGACGAAGCACATTGCTCTGCGCTACTTTCTTGCTCGAGAGCTGCAGCACCGCGGTCAGCTTCGTCTGCGTCACGTGGCCACTGAGGCCAACACTGCTGATGTGTTCACCAAGGCACTTCCGCCTTGTGACTATCAGCGCTTCTGCACTTTGCTAGGTCTTGTGCCCACTGGGCCTCACTTGCTTACCTCTTGACCTTGTCTGTACTGCTGCATATATATACCTGCTCTTGCTTGTGTAGCACTGTTATATATATGCTTTACTGCATGTGAACTGGCCTTGTGGCCTTGAACTTGTGCTCGGAATTTGTGTGGTATCCTTGAGGTCCACCCTGAGCTTGCTTTGCTTTGCTTTGCTTGACTGGTCTTGTGACCCCTTGTTCTCCCCCACTTTGCCTATGGGGGTGTGTTAGATTATTATATTGCTGATGCATGTTTGTAGGCTGTAGTGGGGTAGCCCATAGGGGGTACAACCCAATTAGGGTTGGTACTTGTACTGTTTTCTTTCGTAGTTCATTCATTCCTCGCTACTATCTCAACACAACAACTATGGGAGACAACTCACCACGATTCAGAACTCCCATAAACAACATGCTGATGGTTATTGACATGACTAGATGATTGGAATCGAAAACAGTTTGTTTTGGACACTCGTTCTTGGACCTTCTCATCTGCCGTCCAGGCTCCGTCCACGATTCTGTGGTCCTTTCCGCGTTGAGGCGATGGTGACACCAGTTACTTTCCGCTTGCACTTGTTATGTCACGAAGGATAGAGAGAGCACAGACACATTTCTGCTGAGCAGCGTCAAACGTTGATAGCGAACTGGTTACTGCATCTAATGATGTGCTATAAATCGAATATGGAGCGCCTTGATGTTGTGTACAATCAACAAGTTGAATCACCTGTTTTGATAAAGAACCGACGACGTGAGAGTAGCAACTATGATCCTTGAGCACACCTTGTTCACACCCCTTCTGGTCGCTTACTCTCCTACATCCCCCGATGCCGCTCCACCTACATGCGTACTTTTTGCACCCCCTGCCCTACCATTCACCACTTCACTACCACCCCTGTCCCCCCCCTTCCCTCACCTCCCCCCCACCCCATAGCACCTTGCGTGGATCCATGATGAGGCGGCGGAAGCCAGCCTCCCCGGGGCAGAGGTGGGGGTCGGGGAAGCGGATGCGGTCGTGGCAGACGGGGTACGGCCAGCGGAACACCATGCGCTCCATCGAGAACGCCTCGCCCTCGGGCACGCGGAACGGTAGCGCGCACAGCCGCGTCGACCTCCACTGGCTGCCCACGCTCACCCACGGCACCGCCCGCACGTACGCCGCAGCTTCGGCGGCCGCGGCCGCCGAGCCTCCAGATGCGGTTACTGCAGCATCAGCGGCGGTGGCGGCGGAATCAACGAGGGGGTCTGAGAGGGCGGTTTCGGAGGAGGAGGTGGTGGGGTAGGCGAAGGGATCAAGGAAGGAGGGGATGGAGGCGGGCGGCAGGCCGACGAAGAGGAACTCGTTGATGGCGGCTGGGATGACCCAGCGGGCTGTGAAGGCGTGGCGCTGCACACAGTCGTGCATCGCTAGCACCTGGTTGGGGGCCAGGCGGGAAGGGGGGTGGTGGGGATGGCAGGTGAAAGGGGTGGAAGGGGGTGACAGGGGAAAGATGTGGAAGGGTGGCTGGGGAAAGGGGTGGAAGGGGGAAGGGCCGCAAAGGCATGGCGGTGCACAGAGACATACATGGTCAGCGCCAGGTGAAGGTGGGAAGGGTGGAAAGGGAGAGGATGGAGAGGGAAGCACACAGTGTATATGCGTATACATGCAAAAACACGTGCAAGCGTTGTTGCGCACACCTGCCCATTCCTCTCCAGATCGAACTACTTGGCACCACTGAAGTCTGTGCGGCGCACCACTCTCCGCTCAAAGTCCTCATGGAAGCGCTCCTACAGCTCCACGGCGAGCCACCCGCCGCTGTCGTACAACGCCACCACGATGGCGCCCAGCAGGCGATGGTACTCCACCGCCTCGCGCAGCAGATGCACGGGCATCGATGCGTTGCGCGCCGATGGGAGCAGGCACAGCACCGAGTGGAAGGGGAAGGGGAGACCTGGAGTTGTTGCGGGGAAGGCCAGAGGGGCTTCCCTAGTGGGGGGAAGGGGGGGGGGGGAGAGGGGGAAGAGTGGTTGTGGGGCAAAATGGGGAGGGCGTGCAAGGGAGGTAATAGGCATCAAAAGAGTAGGGGATTTTGAAGGCAAGGGGCAAACTTTCAAGGGCGTGGAGGGAGAGAAGGGGGTCAAGGCAAATGAGCAGTGAGAAGCAGGTGTTGGGGGTGGCAGCAGTGACAGGGAAGAGTAGAGAGTGAGGGGGAAGGGAAAGACGGTGGTGGTGGGACCAGCGCACCTGTTCTTGTGAGCCCCCTGTGTGCCCCCCCCCTTGCGCGCCCTCCCCATGTGCGCCCTCCCGCTGTATGTAGCCCTTCCTCTGTGCGCCCTCACCCTGTACGTCCTCCCCTTTTGCGCCCTCCCCCTGTGCTCCCTCCCCCCGTGTGCCACAGCGCTCACCTGCAGTGTGTGGCGGCCAGGCGCTTCCTCGTGGCCAAACACCACCCCCATGCCCACCTTTGAGAATTCCCAGCAAACCTGTCTCTTCCCTAAAGCTCCTACCCCTACCCTGAAGCCCATTACCCAGTGCGCTTTTTCCCCTTATCCCTGTGTTGCGCGTCCTCCCCCCTCTCTGCCCCTCACCTGCAGTGCGTGGCAATGAGACGGCCTTTCATGGCCCACGGGACCACCCCCACGCCCATTAGCCTGCGCGGGCCAACGTGGTAACCACTGTAGGTTGGGGGGAGGGGGGAACGAGTGCCGGGGGTAGGAGGTGTCGGCATGGAACGGGACATAATGGTATGGGATGTTATCATATGCCTTCAAGTCTGTCTGCCCCTCATCTTGAATTGCCAATTTGTATGCGTCGAATGCCTTTGTGAAATACGTTCTAATTGGCAGGATTTAGAATTTGTGAGTGTGTTTGAATTTCATATTGTCTGAGCAGATATCTGAAATTTCTTCTCTGCCGAAAAACCTTCCGGCGAACCAAAGATCGTTTCAACCGGCGAACCAAAGATACGAACGATCAGAGATCGTATGCTTTTAAGTTATCGTTATGTCGACTATGGGGATATGTGAGGTTACTCTTTGTGGTAATAGACCATTATTAGTTGGGATAATTTAACACCTCATTGTAGTTGCTGCCAAGTGGATGGGAGAAACCAAACCAGGTTGACAACTGTGACCAATTTGAATGAGGTGGCTTGCATGAGTCAGGAAAAAATGTCAAGCATGAAAATTGATTTATTTTAGGAAGGAGATTTTGTGTGGTTATGGGGTTTCTTGGTTGATGACTCCCCGGGGACCTTCTCTGTTGTCCTCTCTTTGTTCTCTCACCTGGTTTATTCCTCCTCCATTTCCTTGTCTGGATCTTCGTTGAACATTAAGTTTGAGTTAAGTCTCACCTACAGCACATCCATCGGTACGTCGAAACTCATATCTCGAGAAACATTTTCTCTTTAAATGCGATTCAAATTGAAAATGGTCGGTCTAGGGCTACAACATAGTCAATTTGGGTAAAGTTCTAACGGTGTGTTTTTTGTCAGCTGCGTTTCTTGTAAAATTGACGTTTCTGTCCAGAAACTTGGTTCAACGATTTGAGATATTTTGGGCCTCTAATCTACAGAATCAATACTTGGTGCTAACACATAAGAAACGGAGCATGGGGAACAGGGCATGGGTTATGGGGCATGGGGCAAGGGGAAGGGGGCAGGGACAAGGGGGCAGGGAGCAGGGAGCAAGGGGCACGGAGCAGGGGCCACGAGACTCTCTGCGGAGCTTTAAGGATGGGTGGTTCTCAATGGCACCCGAAAAATAGTGGGGATGTATAGTTTCTATGTTTATACCTGAAGCGGGTGAAGACCGAGTTGCCTGCCAACACACGCTGCCTCCACTCCGACGCGTCTAATGGGTCCACAGGCGTTGGGGGGAGGGAGGTCAAGGGAAGATGGTAAAAGGGGCTGTTATGGGAGGGAAGGAAGGATGTCTGGCGGAAGGCACGGGAAACACGAGAGACAGCAAGAGGAGATGGGCAGGGGCAAAGCCGCAACACTCACTGGCGAAGGGCCCTTGGGGAATGTACCCCTGTGTGGGCAGTGGCTCCGTCCACGCCTCCTCGCCCTCCACGTCATCCAACACCGCCTTGCCCACCCTCGCTGCTGCCCCCACTCCCCCTCCGCGCCCCCCTACTCCCATCTTTATCCCCTGCCCCTGCTGGCCTTCTCGCCCTTCCCCCCAACCACTGCTCCTACCCCCCTCCCCAGCCACCTCTACACCCCCTTCCCCGCCCATTCGTCCCATTGTACCCCCTCCCGCTCCCCCTCCGCCCCCTCCCCCTGCGCCCTCCTCCTCGTTGTCCTCCTCGTCCTCCAGGCTCAGCAGCTCCTCGATCCCCATGCTCTTCAGCCGCAGCCCCGTGCGTGCCCCCGCCCCCATGCTCTGCTGCTCCTCCGCCTGCTCCATCGGAATGCGCTTCCTCCTGCCCTGCCTTGCCACTGAGCCTTCCCCTCCTCCTCCTTCCCCTACCCCTCCTCCGCCATTTCCCCCTCCTCCTCGTGCCCCTCCCCCCTGTGCCCCCCTCCCCTCCTCTCCCAGCCTCCTCTTGCTCTCTCCCTCCCCTCCTCTCCTCCCTCCCCTCTCCTTCAGCTCTCCACTCCCCGCCTCCCCACGTTCACCTCCAGCCACCCTCCTCTTGCGTCCAACCCCACTCTTCACCCCACCCTCACCTTTTCCCTTCCCCCCACCCTTCTCCTCGTCCTCCCCTCCCTCCTCCTCTCCCTCTTCCCCCTCCTCCTCTCCCTCCTCCCCTTCCCCCTCCCCCTCCTCCTCCTCTTCCTCCTCCTCATCCTCACCTCTCTCTCTACTCACAGCCATCCTTGCCTCAGCCATCGCCCTCTCCTCCTCACTCATCTCCCCCTCTCCCTTCCCACCGCCTCCCACCGCACCACGCCCCTCCCCACCCTTGTGCTTCTTCCTCTTCCGCCGGTGCTTCACCGCCTCACCGCCACCACCACTCTTAACGCCGCTGTCCTCGCTGCCGCGCTCGCCCGCCTCGTCCCTGCGCGCCTTGAGCATCGACACCAGGTCCGCCCGCTCGCTGTCCATCTCCTCCGGCTTCGCCCACTCTATCGGCACCACCCCCCCTGCGCCCCCTCCCCCCCTTGCGCCCCCTTCTCCCCCTGCTCCCCCTCCTTCCCCTCCCCCCTCTGATTCCCCTCCACCCTCTCCTTCCTCACCTCCAGACGCTGCTTTCCCCCCCCCTCCACCTGCTCCAGCCCCTCCCCCCTCCCCTCCTCCATCTCCTTCCCCAGCCGCCCCCTGAGCTCTCCCCCCCTCGCTATCCACGCCACCTTCCCCATCACCCCCCTCTCCTCCGCTGACCCGCCTCGCCTCTCCTCCCTCTTGCTCCGCCCCTCCAGCATCCCCACCTCCCGCTCGCCCCTCTCCCGCGCCCTGCCCTCTCTCCAAACCATCAGCGGTAGTGGCAGTATCTGCATCGGAACCAGCGGAGCGATCACCAGCACCATTACTGCCACCACCACCACCAGCACTCACAGCACCATCGCTACCTGCCCTCGTCTCCCCCTCGCGCCCACCAGTATTCTCCTCTGCTCTCCTTCCAGTCTTCTCTCCTCCCATCCCTCCGCCTCCCCTCCCCTCACGTCCTCCCTCTCCTTGCTGAGTCACCACTCGCCCCTGCTCACCCCCACCCCTGTCATCTCCGCCACCCCCCCCCCCCAGCGCCTGCCCCTCTTGCCGCGCCCATACCTGCCGCCACTCCTCCCTGCTGCTGCTGCTGCCCTGCCCCTTCCACCGTGCGCTGCTCTTGGCCCCCCTCCTCCTTCTGCCCGCCTGCTCCCTCTCCTTGCGTGTCCCCTGCCGCCGCCGCCGCCGCCGCCTTCCCTGCTGCTGCAGCCTCTTCCTCCTTCTGCTTGGCAGCGCGGGCGGCAGCCTCCTTCACCATCAGCTGCTTCTGCCTCTCGTGCCGTGCTGCCCTGCCACTCAGCTTCGGGGGTTCCATCGCCGATACCACCTGCCCCTGCTGCTGCTGCCGCATGCCTGTGCCTGCTCCCCCTCCCCCTACCACGACCCCTTCCGCCCTCGCTCCTCCTCCTCCCCCTCCTCCCCCAGCCACACCTCCACCTGCCCCGACACCCACGCCTTGGCACGGACGTCCTTGAGGACAGGCAGGAGGAGTTCCACTGTTTTGCTGCTGCTTTACCCCATCTTGTGGCCATGCGGCTTGCCCGTGAGGGAGACCCGGATGCACCTGACATCCCGACTCCGCGTTCTTACGCAGAGGCGATAGAGGGTCCCTACTCTTCTAAATGGCAGATAGCCATGGACGCAGAGATGGCTTCCTGGACGCAGAGATGGCTTCCTGGAAGTCGACAGGCACCTGACGAGATTCCCCCTCCTGGGGCGAACATCGTCAGTGGCATGTGGATCTTCCGGGTGAAGCGGCCGCCGGGTTCTCCGCATGTCTTCAAGGCGCGCTACGTGGCTAGGGGCTTCAGTCAACGGCAGGGAGTTGACTGCTTTCAGACCATCTCTCCCACCCCGAAGATGACTACTCTTTGGGTGTTGCTGCACATAGCCGCTCAGCGCGACTACGAGCTTCACTCTCTCGACTTCAGCACTGCTTTCCTGCAGGGCAGCCTGCACGATGAGATCTGGCTGCGCCGCCCACCTGGCTTCACTGGGTCTTTTCCTCTTGGCACCCAGTGGAGCCTCCGGCGGCCATTCTACGGTCTCCACCAGGAGCCCTGTGAGTGGCACGACACACTAAGGACTACACTTGCGGCCCTTGGGTTTGCTCCTTCTACTGCCGACCCGTCGCTGTTTCTGCGCACCGACACTTCCTTGCAGCCGTTCTACATCCTCGTGTACATCGACGACTTGGTCTTTGCCACTGCTGATACTGCAGGACTCGCCCACGTGAAGTCCGAGCTGCAGAAGAGACACACGTGCACTTACCTGGGTGAATTGCGCAGCTATCTTGGCTTGCAGATCACCCGGGACAGAGCACGCCGCACCATTACCCTGACTCAGTCCCACATGGTGCAGCAGGTCCTTCAGCGCTTCGGCTTCACGTACTCCTCGCCTCAGTCCACTCCTTTGTCTACTTGCCACTTGCTCTCAGCTCTGCCTTCGGATGGGTCCGTAGAGCCAAGTGGCTCATACCCAAAGCTTGTTGGCTGCCTCATGTACCTGATGACCTGCACTCGACCTGACCTGGCATACCCTCTTAGCATCCTGGCACGCTATGTTGTTCCTAGGAGACACCGACCAGACCACATGGATGCAGCTAAGAGGGTATTGCGCTACTTGTGCAGTACGTCGGGTATGGGGCTAGTCCTTGGAGGGCGGAGTTCAGTGGTCCTCACTGGTCACGCGGACGCTTCTTGGGCTGACGACCAGGCTACGCAGCGGTCGTCACAGGATTACACCTTCAGCCTTGGTTCCGGCTCTGTTTCGTGGCGGTCTACCCGCTCGTCTTCTGTTCTCGGCTCCAGCTGTGAGGCTGAGATCTACGCAGGGGCCATGGCTGCACAGGAGTTACGCTGGCTTGTTAGATAGTAAGGACGGAGTCTATGAAGATTAGGTGCCGAAATAACACAAAAATCGTCGGTCTCAATTTCTGGACAGAAACCGCGACTTCACAAGAAACGTCGTCGGCTAAAATTGCACCGTTGGAATTGTCTCGAACTCAAGTATGTTGTAGCTTGTAACCAGCGCTATCTTTCCCAATTTTAACCGTATCAAATAGTGGAGTAAATCTCGAGTTACGATTTTCGGCGCACTAGGGGGTATGCTGCCACATGCTTAACTCAATCACAATGGCTCTCACAAGTTCCACTAAGTTACACACAAGAGAGTTGGAGTGGCACTAAACCAGGTGAGAGGGAAGAGGAGGACAAGAGGGAAGGTCCCAAGGAGTCCCCAACCTAAGGAAACCCCATGCCACACAATTTCCTTCCCCATAGGCAACCCCACTTTCACATTTGTCACTTTCCCAACTCATGCCATCCACCTCAACCCACTTGGCCACACTTGCCAACCTGGTTTGGCTTCACCCAACCACATGGCAGCATTCTACAGTGATGGGTTCGAATTCCCAACCCCCAAAAGTCTGTACCCCATATTGAGTCAACCCCACAACTTCCCATAGTCGCCACAACCGAAGTACAGAAAGCATACGAACTCCAACGCTCGTAACTTTCTTGATATTGCTCCGATCGCGACGATTCTTGGCTCGTCGGAAAGCTCTTGAGTAGAGCTGTCACTCCAGATATCTGCCCAAGCCAAATATCATCCACACACACTCAGGAAATCCAAACCGCGCAAAACACAAATTCTTGCACACGCTCACACCAGGCATGCAACACACGAACACTTGATGGAGGCAGACAGACGTGAATGCATATGGTTGCATCACAACAAACTCCCCCTCTGGCTGCCAACCATCATCCCACATGCCTCAGCTCATGAATGCATCCTCAATGCACACTCATCCCAGCAAGTTTCATGCCCTTCCAATGCTCAGGTTCTGCCAGGCGCTTGGTGAGAATGTCAGCCGCCTGCTGCTGGGTTTTCACAAGTTCCAGTCGAACCTCCTTGTCCAGGAGCCTCCTTGTCCAATGCCATTTAGGCCTGATGTGCTTGGTCAGCCCATGAAGACAAGCATTCTTGGCCAGCTTCACCGTTGACTCGTTGTCACAGAAAATCACAGTCGGCTCCTTCTGGCACACTCCGATCTCCTCCAACAAACGCCTCAGCCACACCACCTCCTTTGCCCCATGATGAAGGGCCATGTACTCTGTCTCACACGAGGACAGCCCCACCTCGTTCTGCTTCTTGCTGCGCCAGCTCACTGCACCACCGTCAAAGAGGCACACATAGCCTCCAATGCTGGTGCCATCCGACTTCACAGAGTTGAAGCTAGCGTCGGTGTAGCACGTTAGGCGCATCTCCCCCTTGCTCAAGTCAGCTGCACCCCTCTGCAACCTCTGTCGCACGGCACTGTACTCCAATCCCACTGATGTCGTTGCACTCACATAGCGGACCAACCTCTTGGCCGCTTCGAGCTGCTCATGACTGGGGCGTGAAACCACACTTGCAAGCCTGGATGTAGCAAACGCAATGTTCGGCCGCGTGTGGTTAGCCGCATAGTTCAACGCCCCGACCATCGAGTGGAACTGCTTCCTCTCACTCTCTCCCACCACCTCCTCATCAGCACAGGGCTCCACAGTGAACCCCGAAGGCAGTGGGGTGGCTGGCTTCCCTCCATCTTGCAGCCCGTACTTCTCGGCCAGCCCCTCATAGTACTTCCTCTGGTGCAACCTCAACACTCCCTTGTCAAGGTCCCTCTCCACATGCATCCCAAGGTAGTACTTCACATCTCCCATCTTCGAGCACTTGAATTGCATCTCCAGCATGTCCTCCACACGCTCAATCATTGCAGACGACTCGGAGAAGAGTAGGATGTCGTCCACATACACCAGGAGCTTGAGAAACTGCTCCTTCTCTTGCAGCAGGAACAAGCTGTGATCACACTCACTCTTCTTGAACCCCCCAGCCAGCAGTGTCTCCTCCAGTTTGTGGTACCATACACGAGGAGCCTGCTTCAGGCCATAGATGGCCTTCTTCAGCCTGCACACCCTGCCGCTCCCATCATCCAACCCCTCAGGCTGCAACATGTACAGCTTCTCCAGAATAAATCCATTGAGGAAGGCAGTGATTATGTCCAGCTGCTTTACCCGCCATCCACGGTATGCGGCCATCGCCAAAGACACTCTCAGTGTTGTGCCTTTCCCCACAGGAGCATAGAGCTCATCGAAGTCCTTCCCCTTTGTCTGCTGGAATCCCTTAGCGACAAGCCTTGACTTGTAGCGCGTCAGCTCCCCATCAAGTCCGTACTTGTGCCTGAAGATCAGCTTCGAAGAGATTGCCTTCTTCCCAGGAGGCAGCTCACACAGCTCCCACGTCTCATTCTCCAGCAGTGAGTCGTACTCCTCCTTCACACTCTGCTTCCACTTCTCAGCATCGGGCCCACTCAAGGCCTCGGTAAGCGTCTTGGGCTCAGGGACGGCTGCCCAGTAGCAGTGCGCTATCTCCTCCTCATCACACTGCTCAGCCACACTCCCAGCCCGTACCACCTTCGGCTTCCCAAAGCTCGGATAGGTCAGCCGGTTAGGAGGGCGCACATCCCTCTTAGGACGGTCAGCCGTACGTGCGGCACCTCGTGGAGCATCTTGCTGCTGCTGCTGCTGCGGCTGCTGCTGCTGCTGCTACTGCTGCTCCACCACCTCAGGTTCTCCCCCATCCTCAGTCACCCCAGAGATCTCCTCCTCTGAAATGGCAACCTCCACTTGCCTCGAAGGCCGCTGCATCTCATCGGCCTCAACGATCAGCGGTGTCGTAGGAAGCTTCTGCTGCTGCTGCTTCCACTCCTTGTAGTACAAGGACTCCAAGAACTTCACGTCCCTTGACACAGTCAGCTGCTGGCTGGTCAAGTCCCATATGAGCCAGCCCTTGTGGTCCTTCGCAAGTCCCAAGTGCACACCCCATCTCCCAGAAGCTTCCAACTTTCCCCTCTTCTCCTTCGGCACATGAAACACCACCATGCAGCCGTAGGCTCTCAGCATGTTGACTGCTGGTGCACTCCCATACCACTTCGAGTAGGGGATCCACTGCTTGTCCCCTACAGTCGCCAGCACCCTGTTCTTCACAACAACGACCTGCCCCAGTGCAGTCACCCAAAATGGATCCGGCAGCCCTGCACGCCCAAGGAGAGTGCGAGCACCTTCCTGCAGGGTCCGGTTGAACCGCTCAGCCACGCCGTTCTGCAGAGGGTTGTAAGGCACTGTGAGTTGATGCTGGATCCCCGTCTTCTTCAGCACCGCCTCAAAATAAGCGCCAATGAACTCTCCTCCGTTGTCGGTGCGGATCACCTTCACCTTGTGTCCGCTCTCCCTTTGAGCTCTTGGCATCCACTCCTTGAGGACAGCCGCTGCCACC